CGGCGACTATTTTCCAATGATCGTTGATCGCCACTTAATTTCGGTAACTACTCCGATTCCTAGGTCACAGATATAGTTAAAAAATTAATTTTCGGGCATAACTTATCAAATTAATTGGTCACATATTATTTCGAGGTCACAATTTATAAGTCATAATTAATTTCATTGGTCACTGATCAAAAAATTTATAGATTACAAATTTTTAATTGATCACAAGTTAAAAAAATGATAGATAACAGAGATCACATTTCCAAACTTGTTAGTCACAGATTATCAAATTTTGAGGTCACAGTTTAATAGTTAATCATAGAGAACCGTATAGTTGATCACATACACCCAAATACCCGTTCCACAATCTCAATCAACTACCAATATTTGGTCACAAATACTCTTTGTCGTATCCTTGCCGCCGCCGCCGCCACCGCCACAACCATCCACCAACAATAACAAAAACAACCACCACCAATCAAACAACCAACAACAGATCTGCCCAAACCACCAACAACAGATCCGTCCACACAAAGCCACACACCAACAACAACCAACAACTACACACACATATTTGCCACCAACAAAAGCTAGACACACATCAGCCACCAACAACAACCACTCACACAAATTTGCCCCACACCCACAGATCTGCTACCTCTCCGTTCCTCAACTCCGATCCGCCACACACCCATAGCAAAGTCGTGATTGTGAACGGCGACATCGTAGCCACGCTAAACTGCAACAGCATCACGACGCTACTGTAGTTTAAAGTAGCGTCGTCGCGATCCTGCAGATAGAGACGAGGGAGAGAAGGGGAGGGGAAGGAAGGAAGGAGAAGAGAGGAGGAGGAAAGCAAGGGAAAGGAGGAAGGCGAGAGAGAGAGAGGGAAAAGGAGTAGAGAGATAAATTATGTTATCAATTATGATTTTAATATAGTACCTAATTTTTGAATAAATAAACTTTAGACCTGAATTTTAAAAATCAATCTTTAATCACGTGATTTTATGTAATTATCACTTTATATTATTTATTTAACCGACCCTGCTTTCCGAAAGTTGAGCCCACACACTACGGGCTACGGCCTACAATTTGGACACAGACCGCCTTTGTGTTGACTTGACGACGTCGTTCCGAGGGGAAAATCCAGTTTCTGTTTCAAGAACCCTCCCAAATTCTTTAAACTGAGTTTGACAATTTTTCATGTGTATATATGTGTGACAATTAGCAACTATCTTTCTTCATATGGGAAAATCTCCGCGCCTTTCGAAAGGGCGGCGCGAATCGAAGAACGAAAGGAGCGAGAAAAAGAGGAAGAGGCCGACGATGGAGGACGAAGAAAGTAGTGGCGGAGAGGCCGAGAAACAGCGGGGTTTTCGGCTGTCGGAGGTGATTTCAGATTGCATAAAGCGATGGTTCGTTGATACTCTCAAGGAGGCCAAGGCTGGGGATATCAACATGCAGGTGCTCGTCGGCCAGATGTATTACAGTGGTTACGGCGTGCCCAGAGATGCCCAAAAGGTTTTATTATTTTTCTCTAGTCTATCATTTTATTTTATTTTATTTTTGCGTTTCTCTTTAACAATAGTTTATCCATCTTTTGTTTGTTCTAATATCGATTTTTCAGTTTTTTTTTTTCTAATTCTGGTTCCGGGTTATATTTTTTTTGTGGGCTGTGTGCGAAACCTTTTTTTGTTTTTTGCGCGCGACTGTGTTAACGTACTTTGAGATTGTAGGGAAAAATTTGGATAACAAAAGCTTCAAGGGTGAGATCTTCAGTTTGGAAAGTCAGTAATAAACGCCCAGGTGATCTTCGTCTACTCTGTGTTTGTGCGTGCAGTTGCCTGGCATTCTTCTACGTATGAACTGTTTAGCTCTTGCAGGTTATAATGCAAGTGATTCTGATTCGGATTCAGATTCAGATGAACCAGTTGAGAATTCATGATTAGATTAACTTGGAATGCTTGACTATCCAACTTCAAGGTGAATTGGTTTCATGTTTTTGGACTCTGCGACTATTTTCATCTTATCTGTTGGGCTGCATTTTTCTTCAGATTGGATCAATATCAATTTACATTGCCTCAAGGCCCTTGAGGGTTTTAGATCATGTTACAAAGTGAAGCATTTTCGTTAGGCAAGCAAAGTACATTTTTTAGACTGGGGGACCTCTTGATTGTAACCCAGATCGTCTGTTGATTGAATTGTTTCACTTTCGCTAGGAATATTTAGTGACATTCTTTCGAAATATTAGCATGCTTAGTTTTTGCTGTGGAATTTAAAGTGGGGAGAGTAAAGGAATCCCAATGTAACCAACCACGTAAAACATGAAGTTTATTCCTCTCTATTCAATCTTAGGTTTTGGAGCTCGTGGTACTAGTTGGAAATTACTCTTCCTAAATTGAAGGACTTCAATTTTTTTTCTAGGGTGTGTTGGGTATAAATGATCTTCTTATATACACAGTCATTTGTTTTAAAGTTCCTTTCTTAAACTACATGATCTGATCAACAAGGATTCTGATCAACAAGGATTCTTTCTTGGTGACTAAGCATCATCACTAGAGATTTTTAGTGATGGCCAGAAACTGTCATCTCAACTTTTAAAGTCACTTACAAACACACTCATGGTTAACAAAGTACCATGAAATATAACATTCAGTGACGGTCCTTAAATTTTGCAAATACAATGATGGTTATATGGTAAACTGTCAATGTGCGTAAATGTAATGGTTTTTATGATACCTATCATTGTAAGCAAACATACAATGCCTGTTGTGAATTATATATTGGTGTAATGGTTTTTATGGTACCTATGTTGCTTAATTTATTTGATTTTTTTGTAGAAAGTTTTCATTGCGTGCTTTATTTGTTTTTTGTCGAGCTTTAGAGATTAAAGTAAGATTTAAGTAATTTTTGTAACACAAGAATGTAAGTGAATTGATGGCAAATGTTTATAAACTGTCAAATCACTTTTTATTCGCACATTTCGTGGGACGCACAAGTACTATCAATCTATTCACCACTTGTTTCTATCTATTTATAGTTTAAATTGTTTATAAACACTTCTCAAACTAGCTTTAAGTGTTTTAAGGACTATTACTTCCTTTAAATTACCTCCATGGAAACTGTTGGTTCTTGTTTTTGAGCTATTCCCAAACAATGAAGAGTTTTAACATTTCCATGATGGCTATCTAAAAGCATTATTTTAAAATAACATGAATGGTATACCACGATGACTTCAAGTAAACCTTTCAGGTATACAATATACTTTTTCACGACACTAATCTTATTATTGTATTCCAGTATTTAGCTTCAATGAGTGCATAATAATGTCAGTCATTGGTTTGTATACTTTTAAAAACTCTACATTTTAGCTTGAAGGTGTGCATTTTTTTCTTAATTCTGTACCATTTTTATGTAGAAGTTCCATCTTATCTTTACCCGTCTTAGAGACAGGAATTATAGTACTTCTACACAGTACACACTTAACCGGTGTGAAAGGATTTGTACCATCTACAACAACTTATATTTTGGAGCATTTTGTGATTCAATGGTTAACTTTATTGCCAGAAGGCTGTAAGTTTTGTGAAAATAAATTTTACATGTTTTTTGCGAGCAAGTGGCGATGGAATTCATACATTATGGAGGATTATTTCTTCTGAGAATGCATTCATGTTATCATATTGAAACTTGCCTCCATAGGTCTTTTGTTTTGGATCCATTTAACTGATTGACAACATAAAAAAAAAATTATATAGCAGTTTCAAGATTAATGAAGGAATTAACCTGTCAGAACATAGGCTGCATGGTGACTAGTGAAAAAGGGATTAACAAGCCACTTGAATACACTGTCTATTGCACAAAGCATGTCTTGTTTGACGTCCAAAGTCAAATTGACATTTAGCCCTTGTTTGGTGTAAATTAAAATCCCTATTTAGAGGCAACAATTAATAACCACACATTTGATTTATTAATTCATTAGCTTTGACTTTTTTTTTTGTTTTTTCAAGTTTTAGTTTTTTTTTTTTTTTTAATAACCGTAGATGTTCGGGCCAGTTTGAGCGCACCTCGACTAATCTCACGGGGTCCTGAAGTTTACGGTCAGGTACTCACATTAGTGGCCTGAGGGAACTCAAACTGGTGATCATTGGGGAGCAAACCCAAGGCCTGACCAATTGAGCGTTTTTTCAAGTTTTAGTTGAAGAGTTAAGTAAATGAATTCAAGTTTTGACCGAATGCATGTTCGACTTTAAAAAGTTGAACAGGTCATCCTTTGTGGGACAAAGGAGTAATAACTAGTTCTGAACAGGAGATAGAGATAAAGAAAGGATTATGACGCTAGTTAATTTGTTCTGCTATCCCGCAGGTAATGTAATAGTAGGGAAAACACACTTGTGAATCAAGACTTGAAACTTTTAAAACATGGCGAGATGGATCCTTTGAGACTTACAGATGTTGGTAGTTGGTACTTACATATTGTATTAAGCTGGGAAAGAGATTGATTATACTTATATGGGATCTCTTCAGGTGATTCGCCCTTGCTGAGTGTGGTGTTTTGGATTTCAATCACACAGCGAGTTCTTTATGATTCGTTTATTTACAATTTATTTTGTCTCTTTCGATTGATTACCCAGTTTTATTATTATCATTCATCTTCGCTGTGTTTGAGTGAATTACTGGTTATGGCTTACTGTTAGTTTGCGTGGGTTGTTAAAATCCAATAGAAGATTACTTCTTCGTTATCTTTCACCATGGTTGAATAACTTAGCATTCCCACTTGGCATTTTTTGCAGCTTCATCGACGATGTTCAACAGTTCTTGCTAATGAGTTGCTTGTGACAGTATCAATCCTCTCGTTCAAAAATTAATTCACTCGATTAGAAGTATATCACATGATCATTTATTATTACATCAACGTCGGGTCCCCGTCTCTCTTCTTTCATGCTATTGTATATGTGGACAATTGTACAATTGTTTGTTCTGTGATATTCTATTAAACTCTTTTTTTTACATACTTATTTTCAATGTATATTCGCACAATAAAATATTTTAAACCAGGGATGGATTTAGGCCTCCCCCGGGCCAAAAAAAAAATTTTTTTAGTTAGAAAAAAAATTATGTAAAAAAAAAGAAAAAAATCATGTGTAATTTTATTTTTTTACGTATTAGCTCGGCCTGTAATTCGGTCTTGGATCCATCCCTGTTTTAAACATAAATTCAAAATTTTTCCTATTTTTTACACATTATCCTAAAAATTACTGTTTAAAATAATGTTTTTCCAAATTAATAGCCATCAAATGGGAGAGGGGCATGATTTTTGAGTAATGTTATTTAGTACTATTGATGTTGAATTATTGGTTTTATTGACGTTAAGTGGGCTCAATGAAAGGTAAAATTAAGTAATTCATTTAATTTTATCTCTGTAAACTATTATGTTTAACATATGTCATCTAATTTGTCAAAAAATAAAAGTCTGTTCTCTTTACCATTTTAAAGTTGCTTTCTGTTTTCGATTTTTCAAAACAGTAAAAACGCACTCTTTCCTATTTTGAAACATGTTTTTTTGAAAACAAGTTAAAAATTTACAAAGAAAATTCAAAATCACAAATTTATCTTTTTGGGTATTTTCAGTTATAATCAAGCTAAAATTTACAAAACGCTGGGTGTTTTCAAAATATAAAAAAGAACACATTTTTAACAATCTCAAAATAAAAACACAAAATTCAAAATGAATTTAAAGCTCAAAACATAAAATTGAAATACAAAGAAAACATTCCCTAAAAGATCGAGCATTTATCTAATCAAAATATCACGTGTTCCCTCGTAAATATGTAAAAGGGGTAGTGTCAGGACTCAGATTGTTAGGGGCTACATTTAGGAACCTGGCCTAAAGAAGGTTTTTCAATTTTTTAATGAATGATATCATTTTTCTATAAACCCAAGCATCTTGATTTATTTTACACCTCTATTATATTTCTACTCGTATTATTAAATTGTCATATGATTCTCCTTAAAAAGTGTAGGTAAACTCTGAACAGTTAACTGAAT